TCTCAGTGAACGGCAGTTCACAGGCCCCCTCTTTATCTAAAAGAGAGCGAAGTGACCTAAATAAGGTAGATTTTAAACTGAGTATATTTATAGGTAGATAAAGTTTGGGTTTAATACAAACTATAAGTTACCTTTAGAAATGCAATGTCGTTTGACCAATGGTTGGCTGTGAACGACCTTGGTACCTTGTACCAAATATCCCGGAGTATGACGTGTCATACACCTGAAGTACACTTCATGTAACCAGGGTACACTTAGGGCTACGTACCCCGTTACAGTCTAGCACACGCCGCTTGCGACATGGCTTCCAGCAGATAAATTGTTGCATGTGCTCATTATTAAGAAGGATTATAGACACTCAGGAGGGTGAAGGACGTGATATTGGTACGATCCTGCCGCCGACGAAGCCCGCGCGCGGCTTATTGCAATCTTGTAATACTTGTTGGAGTACAATCTTTCAAAATGCCATTGTAGAGGGAAAACGCCAATGGCAGTTTTATGATTGGAACCGCGATATTTTCGATATTGCCAGGGGCTCCAATACGGAGCATTATTCTTACTCGTTACCGTACTGCACCGCAGAACTTTCAGAGCATTTTTCAGATGCGTGGTGTTTCTCGACAACCGATTCGACTATAAGAACCGAGACACTGTAACAGTAGTGCTGGGAACTTGTTCAAAATTACCGTATTCCTTATGGGATGGCGACAGTCAAATTCTTGAGGTGGTCCAGCCTTTCTGCCAGCATAAAAGATACCTGCATAAAAAAACTATATAACATGCTAAAATTATATTGGTCGCCAAGCACATAAAGCGCGACGACACGAAATTTAAATCAATTTGATTGGCTGCTGGATTTGTCGCTAATGACCGAGCGTCGCCAATCACATAAGGAATACGGTACATGAATCGTTTACTGTAGAGGCTTTATTATTGTGCCTTTCATGATTTTTGGCAAAACAGACTCTCAGAGGTAGTAAATCGAGGGTCCGATTTCAGCACGGGGTCAGAAATTGGTAGATATCTGACCTGAAATGCAGTTAGGGTTAATGTAAACTGGTGCTGTTTAGGAGAGCTCAATCCGTTATGCCGACATTCAGCGGCTTATATGAGTGGTGAGCGGGCTTTCCATGGACGTCGTTCAGTAGCCAAAATCAACGGACTGACAGCATTACTTGTCAAATACAGCCTAAACGGCCATGGCCTACTCCGATGACTTTCGTTGGAGAAGTGTGGTGCTGATTCACGTCTACGGTGTTCCAATTGAACACGTTGCTGAGCTTCTGAGACCAAAGGAGAGAACGATCCGCCGATGGTATGCGCTGTTTTTAAAAGGTAGAGCTGTCAACGAGCACTGTGAACGGCAACAACATACGCGCTGGCCATCAGAAGTTCTACAGGCAGTGGAAAAATATGTTCGAATTCACCCAACGTTCTACATCGAGGAGCTGCGCGAAAATATTATCAAGCATTTTCCTACACTTACCAACGTATCGCCGTCAACGTTGTGTCGTGCACTAAATTTCGATCTGAATTTGAGTCGTAAAGTGCTAGAAAAGGCGGCACGCGAAGCTGTTCCTGCTGAAATCAGTGTATACCGTCATAAATTGCTGTCACTTTACTCTTTCGCTGAGCAGTTGGTTTTTCTCGATGAAACGGCGAAAGACGGCCGTCATGCTTATCGTCGATATGGATGGTCAAAACGAAATACGAAGGCCGTAGTCAAACTGCCGTTTCGACGTGGCAAGCGTTCATCCGTGCTAGCCGCTCTCGATGTTCACGGGTTTTTTGGGTGGGAATGGACCGAAGGCACATTCACCCGCGAAAAGTTTCACGAAGCTTTTCTCCGTCGAGTGGTACCGAAGCTTAACCCATGGCCACTTCCTCGTTCTATCGTAATAATGGATAACGCAAAAATTCATTGCTACCCGGAGTTACAAGCGGCGAATCATCAATGTGGAGCACGATTATTATTCTTACCTCCGTATTGTCCACAATTGAACCCCATTGAGCAATGCTTTGGCCAGCTAAAGCGTTGGCTACAAAAGTACGCCAATTTGGTGTTTCCACTGTATCCAGAGCAGGTTTTAGATGTAGCTATGCGTGCATGTACTCGACGTAGTGAGAGTGGCTGCTTTGGAGCCTTTCAGCACTGTGGATATCTTTGCAATGGGCTCAGGGAACAAGTATTTCATGATCTGATGCAGACAAGTGAGAATGCCGAAGTGTGTTGAGTACGAAATTATTCTGGGATTTAATGTCTTTTAACCAAATTGCGCCTATGTCTCTTGCATTTCTTCATCTTCTAAATGGTCGACATCTTCCATGGTTGGGTTGGTTGCAGGTGTTGGGTTAAACTGGTGAAATATACCCTGTGTGAATATGTCATGATCTGGTAGCCCAATTGCACGTCTTAATGAAATGACTTCCACCTCCACAGGCATCCACAGTCCATTGAATTTCAGTGTCACGACACCAGTTTGCCTTGTGGATTCAGCGGCATCGTCTTCACGGCGCATTGCTTCACGCGTCTGGTCTAATGCAATGGCTTGAGATGTCGTATTATCCGAAGGAACTTCAAATGCTGTGCCATCAGGCCGGCGAGCATGTATAACGTCAAGATGATGAGCTGGGATTGCATCAAACGCAATAGAGTTGGTAGCTTCGTATGCCATTCTTTGGACCCTTGCATTTTGTATTCTCTGTGCAGTTGCGCGGTGGAACTGCTCGGGTGGTGCACGTATAGAAATGCCTCAAACCGAAAGTCACCAATGCGTGCCAAGTCCCCAGGTGTCAGCAGTTTCCATCGATGGTGTAATGTTGCCGTAAAATTATCAGGGGTGAGCAAGACATATTTTTCTTGTGAGTCATTGCGAGCTCGTTTCAAATAAATCCCCACGTTTTCTGGAAGCTGAATCGGCCGCTTAACAGCTTCTGGGGTACTTAAAACCTCGTTGAACTTCGATAAACATTTCTCCTTAAAGACTGCATAACCCTCCTGAATGTCGAAATGAATGTCCTTGCGCCATCCGCCTCGAGCTCGCCCGTGAGGTTCACCGACACGAACTACAAGCACTGCCTCCGCACGATGTGGTAGTAGACGTGAACCATCTACCGCTAAACGTATAGCCTCCACAGGCCAAGGCTGTATCGTGCTCGCCCCTGAGCCGCCTTGGACCGACAGATCTGACGCGACTTGACTTGACGGTTCAGTTTGCATCACCAAACAACAATGAAATTCGAGTGATGATAGTTGGTGCTCGCCGACGCAGATCAGATAATGGGACCTATACACAAATGTAAACGGGAGAGACTATACAACTGCCAAATTATCATTATCACACGCATCTCTTCCGTACCATTCGCATGTGTTTGTGTGGACTCTCCCAGCAACTGTGTACACCTCAGCTGCAAAATCTAGCTAAGTTTCCGCCTGCATACACGACCGTATACATGCACGCCATAAGTATAGTACTCTATCAGCCGGTTACCCACCTGATGTTCTCGATCACCAATTTTATGAGAGCTCGCACGTCTATTTGCCCGCGCTACACGTGACGTTCTTTCATCTGCACCCTCTTCATCACTCTATCGGCATGAGTGGTCTTCTTATAAGCAGTTTCTTCCTCCATTCTTGTTTGCTACGAGCACCTTGCTGCAGGAATGCACATCACAGCGTGGTCAGTCACTACTATGGCATTGCACCTATCTGCATGCAGCAAGATATGTCCACTTTCGTACCGATACTGGGTTCGCCTCACGCTGCCGGCAACGCCACTTAGCCCCCTCGCCTCTCTGGGGTTCTCTCACTGGCTCCAGTTTTGCGGTGTTATAGTTAATGGTGAGACTAAAACGGGGTGTAAGGTCCAAAATGAGGAAGCCTATCCTGAGATGAGATCCAAAATTAGTCATATGGGCTCGTCCGAAATAACTTATTTCAAATAAGTAGCTAACAGGGGCAGCAAAAAACATGAAATCCACAATACCGAGTAACCTTAGTTATGAATTACTCTTTGCTATCAATTACACTTCAATGTGGCCAATCAGAAGCCGCCAAACGCCCGTGCATCCTTAGTTATCAATTACACGGCTTGACAACCAGTAATTTGCGTACATTATCTAGTACTGGTCTCACTTCTCAAAGCCGCAGATGAGTCCAGCGCAACGAAAACGCCCAAAGGGGAGGCCTCGCCTACCTGGTGGCAAGGGCTGCCAAGTACCAACGAACACCATTACGGCGTACACTGCTTCTCACAAGCTGAGGGTATAGAGTATCTAGACAAGAACGGTAGTATTGCGTCCGCAATTCACACGTTCTACCCTGATTTACCAGCTAGCAAATTTAATTGCCGCCGTATCCTCATTTATTCATGGCGTCGATCCCTTTGATGATCTTTTTCGTGAACTTGCTCAAATTTAAATAGACTGCTTGTTCGAAGATACCGATAGCACGGGACACGCAATTTCTGGTCTCTGCACTGCAGATTGGGTGTAATGCATAACTAAGGTAATTCGGTACATGCATTGATTGCGCCACAAATGGATGATTTCTTATCATCGTCTTGAAAAGGGTATTACAGTACTGCACCCCGTTTTCGCGGGGATGGACCATATCGGATTTGCAAATAGATCATATTTTAGCTGACAAACAATTGTTGATTTGGATGCAGGATCATCACATCCTGAAGTTTATCAAAGGTCCAAGGGCGGTATTGGGTGCAGCAAATGAGAGGGAGCTGTGATTTCAAATCACTGACTTGTGAATCTTTGCGAAGGCAAGTCTGACCAGGCCGATCAGATACATGTGCACGGTTTCCATTACACAAGGAGCAGACGGACGGAAAGTATGTTTTGCAGACCCAGTCTGCAAAATCAGCCTGAGACGGTGAGTGAAACACAGATTCTCATACAGCTTGTTAAGCTGCGCTTGATACTTGCACAGCGTATCGTGTCCGGAAAATACATGTATTGTATCGACAGCATACTTCTCACTATTGAATCTGCCGCCTTCGAAGTCTCGATCACTTGTTTTTTTCATAGTCGAAGTCGTCTTCCACTAAGATGAACCTCCGCGCCTTCCTCATCGCCGCCGTCGCTTCCCTAGCTGTAGCCAATGCTAAAGTCAGCCGAGTCAACCACGATGAAGTGCAGCCGTTCACCCAACCGCTACCGATCACCGACTCACAGAAGTCTGCTGTCAAGTACAAACCCCAGCTCCACATATCGTATGGATGTCACCCGTACCCTGCTGTCGAACCCAACGGCTCTGCTAGTGGCGGTCTCGAATGGTCTGGACCTGCTGATGGAGACTGCACGGGCTCCCCACTGGGCTCACAAGTGTACTCTCGTTCGGATTGGTACAAGAACAAGTGGGCCATCATGTACGCTTGGTACTTCCCCAAAGGCCGCTATGGGCTCACTGGCCACCGTCATTACTGGGAGTACGTCGTCGTCTGGGCAGACAGCTCTACGTCTACCAACTCATCAATCCAGGGCGTGTCCATGTCTGCGGGTGTCGGTCACGCCAAGGCTACTCCCCCGATGCTCAAGTACATTCACGGATCGAG